CACTTTGGGAGGCCAAGGCAGGAGGATTCCCTGAGCTCAGGAGCTCAAGACCAGCCTATGCAGTGTAGCAAAACCCTGTCTTTACAAAAGTAAAAATTTTAATTTGAAAAAATTAGTAGGGGATGGGTGGTGGCAGGTGCCTATAGTCCCAGTTACCCAGGAAACTGAGGAGGGAGGGTCACTTGAGCCCAGGAGTTCGGAGCTGCAGTGAGCTATGATCACACCACTGCACTCCAGCCTGGGTGACAGAGCAAGACCCTGTCTCTAAAAAAGAAAAGGGAGGGAGAAGATTAGGATTTTGCCTTGGGGGTGAAGGAAGGGCAGGAGAACTCTGAGAGATTGTTTCCTGAGGCCTGCCCCTGAGGCTTAACACACCCAAAAGACTGTAACAAGGGCTAGGGGAGTTGTAAGCCAGGAACTGTAGAGAAACACCTATATATGTATGTTTTATATATGATAATATATGTATATTTTAACACCACACATTAAAAATCCAGATTTCCTGTGCCCCTGAAAGATCAGGAAGACTTGGCCACGCTGGACCTTCATTCTGCTCAGCAGCAGTTGCCTTGAGCTGAACTGTTGCTGCCACCTCCTGGCCAGCTGCTTCTTTCCTGCGCTAGTGTCTGATTTGGATCCTGATCTAGATTGGTATGCAGCACCCTCCAATATATGTGCACAAAAGATTATATAAGGTGTCGCGGATGCACAACAAAGGTGGTGACACTGTTCCCTACAATCTGCAACCTTCCACCTGGAATGTACCATCCATTTGGGCATCCAAAGCGACCTTGTAAGTCCTACAGGATGGGGAAGATTTTTCATGTGATGCCTGTGAGAGAATGTGCATGTCCTTCCTCAGCCTTCAGCTTTCAGGAGTAGACAAGGGATTACTAAACCACTATTTCATGTCAGTATGTGGCCTTATTTATTAAACCAGCAAAACAGCACAAAACATGTCATTAGACACTAAGCTTAAAAATGGCATTTCAGGCCAGGCACAGTGGCTCACACCTGTAATCCCAGCACTTTGGGAGGCTGAGGTGGGCGGATCACTTGAGCCTAGCAGTTGGAGACCAGCCTGACCAACACGATGAAACCTTGTCTCTACTAAAAATACAAAAATTAGCTGGGAATGCTGACGGGTGCCTGTATCCCAGCTACTTGGAATGTTGAGGCAGGAGAATCGCTTGAACCCAGGAGGCAGAGGTTGCAGGGAGCTGTAATCATGCCACTGCTCTCCAGCCTGGGCAACAGAGTGAGACTATGTCTCCAAAAAAAAAAAATGATATTTTTTAAAAAATGATATTTCTTTTGAGCAGTGTTCCTTTGTATTTTAATAATCCTGTATTTAATACAGATTAAGTAAATATTTGTTATAATGGATGTGACATAAAATTTCCTTTAAAGATAGGTAAGAATATATATATATATAAGGAAATAAGGGAGTCAAAATACAAGGAAAAAAACACAAAAGGCGGCAGTAATGGAGAAAACATAAATGAAAGATGCCGGACACAAGGGACCACGTGTTTATGATTCCACTTATAGAAAATATCCAGAATAGACAACTCCATAGAAATAGGATTCAGGGGATGGGAGGAGGGAGTTATTACTTAATGGGGCTTCCCTTTGTGGTGATGAAAAATGTTTTGGAACTGTAGTGGTAACGGTACCACAACACTGTAAATGTACTAAAAGCTACGGAATTATATACTTTAAAATGGTGAATTGGGGGGAGGGGCAGGAAAATGGTGAATTTTATGTTATGTGAATTTTACCACAATAAAAAATAAAAAGAGAAAAAGTTGCTTTACACAAAAGCATGAAGTAAAAATTATATGTGGTATGGTAAAACAGCACAAATCATAAAGGCAATCCAAGAATGCCTAAACTGGAGGGAATATTGCTTTAGCCAGATTATCTGAAAATGGGTGGAAAAAGGTGTATCTGCCCTGCCCAACCAGTGGAGGCAGGCAGGGGCCTCGCAGCCCAGTGCGGGCGCTGTTTAGAAAAGGGCATCCACATGGAGAAAGGGCCCAGATTAAATGGGGCAGGATGATATTTTGAGATATCTGACTTCGTTCTTTCTGCTCTGGAATTTCACTCCCTGGCCCTGCCCCCTGCCTGTGTCAGCCAAGTTCATTGCCAAGAGAGGGAAGTGACAGAGCAGAAATTGGGAACAAAGGACTGTGGAAGAAAAAAAAAATTACAAGTAAGTCATCTAAAAAGCAATAAAGTAATAGTAATATGAATAATGATTGTGTATATATATTTTTAAAACAACATCCTGATAAATCTCATTCTGATTCTGAAATTTAGGTGAGAGACTAGATCGTAGGCAGAACTAGGAACAGGGACAAACAGACTTTATCATTGCAAAGAGGCTACTACCTAGAAAGAAGTATTCAAGCCCAAGTTTTTCAAGCATAATGTTAAACTAAGCAAGGGCAAAGATACCCAAATGGATCCATCCCATCCCATCTACAATTAAACTAAGGAGAGAATCACTTGAGCTCCTTCCAAAGAATGTTAAGTAAACAGATTTTATTCAATCTTTCCTAGATTTTATATGAATACTTGTTATTTAATGTGGTAGTTACATTACAGTTTTACTGTATGAGCGATAGAACATTTAGTGAATCTGCCGGGCGTGGTGGCTCACGCCTGTAATCCCAGCACTTCGGGTGGCCGAGGTGGGCCGATCACGAGGTCAAGAGATCCAGACCATCCTGACCAACATGGTGAAACCCCGTCTCTACTAAAAATACAAAAATTAGCTGGGTGCGGTGGCACACACCTGTAGTCCCAGCTGCTCAGGAGGCTGAGGCAGAAGAACTGCTTGAACCTGGGAGGCAGAGGTTGCAATGAACCAAGATCGCGCCACTGCACTCCAGCCTGGTGACAGAGCGAGACTCCATCTCAAAAAAAGAAAAAGAAAAAAAAAGAATGTTTGGTGAATCAGATTAACAAACCGGAAATGATCATACCCTCTAAGACACTCTTCTAGAAGCACACTAGTCCCACTGACTCATGTTACAAATTCAAGTTGGCATCCAACTAATTTGTACAATGTGTTATCCTGATGTTTCTGCAATTATACCACCTGAAGAGGGTCCCTGTCAGTCTCTGATAGGATAATATTTATCTTATTCTCCAAGTGAGAACCCAGCATATCTCGAAGGTCAGAAAGAAAGCCTCGTTCAGTGTTGCTATGTTCACAGAGGATGACATTTATTCCTTGGGAAGCAGCATCCAAAATATCATGATGGGACATCTCACCTACCAAAAAGGAAACAGCAAATTCTTAAATGCTAGATATGGAATCTGTGGAATGAGGAAACACAAAAGCAGAAATACCAAGTTTATATTCTATATAAAGTGAATGTAATACAGCAGAACTGTTATAAATCTAGAAAGTACTGTACAGTTTTCTTTTATGTCCTCCAACTTAAAAACAGAGAAAAGTCTGGGCACGGTGGTTCACGCCTGTAATCCCAGCACTTTGGGAAGCCTAGGCAGGGGGGTCACCTGAGCTAAGGAGTTCCAGACCAGCCTAGCCAACATGGTGAAACTCCATCTGTACTAAAAACACAAAAATTAGCTGGGTGTGCTGGCGTGCGCCTGTAATCCCAGCTACTCAGGAGGCTGAGGCGGGTGAATTGCTTCAGTATGGGGGCTGGAGGTTGCAGTGAGCCGAGATTGCACCACTGCACTTCAACCTGGGTGACAGAGCAAGACTCTGTCTTGAAAATATAATAAAATAAAAATAAAAGCCATCCCATTGAGAATTTCAACTTCTTTTTCCTTGGCAGACCCCAAGGCAATTGTCCAATCCAACATATCTGGCCAGAACCAGATCTATAAACACCCATTTTAGTGTGTTTCCACCGTAAAAAGAATGACCACTGCTAAGTAAAATGAGGCCTTCAGAAAATCTGCCTCTTATGTAATAAATACCTCTGGAGGACATTCTGTGTATACTGCCCAGCAGACTTAGGCTTTGTAAGCACCAGTATTTCTGTCGTCAACTTAGTCTAATATACAAGGATGAAATGAATTTAAGATTATTTCCAGATTAAAACAAAGTATTTTTCTTTGACTTAAGCAAAATCCCTAGAAACTCTGGAGGGAATCTCATCTGTTGTGAAAAGATTTGGGGAAAACTCAAATATTCTGAATTTTTAATTTATTTATATTTGTATTTATTTTTTTAGATGGAGTTTTGCTCTATCGCCCAGGCTGGAGTGCAATAGCATAATCTCAGCTCACTGCAACCTCTGCCTCCTGGGTTCAAGTGATTCTCCTGCTTCAGCCTCTCGAGTAGCTGGAATTACAGGCACCCACCACCAAGCCTGGCTAATTTTTGTATTTTTAGTAGAGACGGGGTTTTGCCATGTTGGCCAGGCTGGTCTCGAACTCCTGGGCTCAAGCGATCTGCCCGCCTCGGCCTCCCAAAGTGCTGGGATTACAGGTGTGAGCCACCGTGTCCAGCCTAATATTCTGAATTTTTAAAAATGCAGTTTGTGAATTTGATGACTTGTAATTTAAGCGCAAAACTGCACTGTGTACAATTTGGTTTGTTCTTTAGAAAGTACAATTTTGAACTGTATTTAGAGACAGAAGGGCATACAAATTTAAGAAAAAAAAGGTTCTTAGAAAAAAAATTGAGTTTTTTCTCTAATTTTCCCACAAGAAAACATCTGTAAGTAAAAAATAAGTTTTCTTAATTCCAGAATTTTTCAGTTCCCCACACTCTTCTAATAAGTGTCATCTCATTATAAGGAATAGTTTTTATTCAAGCACCTTTTAAAACATCTTAATCTATAATAGTAAAAGTAAAAAGCAAGAAAAAGACACTAAGATGACCCAGTTGGAAGCCTTGTTTTAGGAAAGATAAGTCTGGCTGCCTGTACTGTGACAAACTCATTGGCCGGAGAAGGCATGAAAGGGGGGAAATCTGTGAAGACCCTGCAATAATTGCTGAAGCCAACGGAAAGAAAAGCTTGGCCCAGGATGGCAGCTTGGGAAAGGAAAAGCAAATGGAGAATGAAATGACAAATGAGAGAACTTACATTTGCAAGGAGCAGGCTCCCCATCTGCTGGTCTTACAGGGTGTTACCCTTAACAACCTAATACAATGAGAACACGGCCTCAGGCTCACAGGAAGCGTGATGAAGTTCAGCAGAGGTCCTTTAGGAGGGGCTTCGCATCTCTGAAGTTACACTCAAAAGCAATGCCTCACAGACCAGAGACATCTAATGCTAGCCAGGTAATATTTTCTATTTCTCCCCACAGCGAGATAGGAAGGACATTTTAACATTTTGGAACTGCCTGAATTTATTTTATGAACATATCATTATATTTTATCACTTTTTTAAAAAACTAGTTTTTAAAAAAGTATTTATGAGGAAATAGATACCCCAAATTGAGCAAGAAGCATAAAACAAAGAGCCTATACTCTTTTAAAAATGTCAATGTTATGAAGACAAAGCTGAGGAACTATTCCAGACTGAAGGAGACTAACAACAACTAAATGCAATGTGAGATCATGGGCTGGATATGGATCAGAAAAAGAAATGCTATAAACTTTTATCAACTGGAAAAATGTGAATATGGACTGTATATCAAGTAAATGTTTTAACAATATTAAATTCCCTCATTTGATAGTTGTTCTATAGACTTAGAATGTCTTTGTTCTTAGAAGACTATACACTGAAGTATTGAGAGGTAAAGAAATTGTCATGTCTGCAATCGATTTCTAAAATGGTCCTGGGGGAAATACATCTATATATAAATATATATAAAAAATTTTTAACTTGTATATTATATATCTATTATGCACACACAAATGTATACAGACACATATATAATATGTACATAAAGAATGTACAAATATGGCAGAATATAACCATTAGTAACCAAGGTGAAGAGCATATAGGAGTTCATTGTACTATTCTTGCAACTTTTGCATAGGTCTGAAATTCCTTCTAAGTAAAATGCTAAAATGAATTTTAAAATAGCCAGACACAATGCTGTAAGATATTCATATTGAAATTTCACTTTAATCTGGTAGAAATTTAAGGACTTACAAAAATCTTTTATCTTCAGAAGAATGGAAAACAGGTAATAGTCACATACATGTTTTTTTTTTTTAAATCAATTTATTGGTTTAGAGCAGTTCCATCAGGCTTTCTCAGATGCTGCTCCTTGGTACTTCGGGATGTGACAATGCTTTCAGTGCAGCAGCCTTTGTAAGAGAGTCTGCTACACAACAAGGCATGGGTGTGGGAGGCAAGGGAAGCATGGAAGTAGCCAAAGGAATGGCCAGAGGGCTAAGAGTCTAGAGCCTAGTCCTCGAAGTGGGAAAAGTAATTCTTTAACTCATTCTCTCCTAACCCTAAGAAGGAGGAGGTAAACAAACTGGCAACCCATTAAAATGTCTTCAAATCCTTTGCAGGTATAATGGGCCATGTTTGGTCACATTCCTGAGTAGTAACTACGTGAAGTAATTCTTTCAATAAAAATTAGGCAGGACCTATTAGGTAGTATCCTTAAGGAGAGAGTGTAAGGCCCAGGAGCCAATTACTGTCCAACAGAAGTGCACACTGGAGATCAAGGACAAAGTGATAGGGACCCACAAGAGGCAGAAGCAGGACAGTGTCAGAGAAGGCTTCTCAGAGGGGGTGCTCACTTATCACGAGGAGAACAAGGAAAAGGCATTCTAACCAAAGAAAACAGCATATGCAAAGGGTACAAGAAAGAGGATGCAATGTTCAGGCTCTACCAGACAGATGAAGGAAATCACTGAAGTCTTTTTAGTCAAGACCATCAAATACGCACTGTGAAAAGTTAATTTCAGGAGAATATATGGAAGATAACATTAGAGGGTTGATGCTGTACTTCAAGTAGGAGACACTGCCTGGACAGATAAGGGGGAAGATTCTAGAAAGATTTGGGAGCTTGAATTGATAGGAATTGATGATTGGCTTTAGGCTAAGAGGAACCATTTCCTAGCTAAGGTGACAGGGTAGAAAGTATCCCACTGACGTGAAATCTGAGAGGTTTGGGACAGTTTAGGAAGAACGTAGGTAAAATAAATGCTGACCATTAATTTTTGAGATAATAAATTGTTCAATGATTTCATCCCTCCACAAAGAACGCAGTATGTCCCAGTTCTGTTGTAGTTTCTGTTTAGTTCAAGTTTACAAAACATTAATTAGGTATCATCTATGTACCAGGTACTGTCCTAAAATCTGCCATTTTTGATTTTGCAAAAAATAAACCAAGAGAGATCCAAAGTCTGTCCTACCTGTGAGGTAAAGGTCAGCCTTGACACCCTGCAGAACGCTGCTCCCAGAACCAGCACACAGGGCCACAACTTTGACTTGAGACTCTTCAAGACAAAGGAAACAAGAGACCAATACTTTACAATTCCCTTTCTTTTTACTATTATAATTTGTACCAAGAATCCTAAACATAATACAGATTTTACTCCTGGTCTCATCATGAGTATACGAATTGTTCTTTCTGCATGTAAAAACAAAACATGTTTTAATATATGCAAACAGGTCATTCTTTTGATATTGCATAGCTAACCCAAGGTACAGTTATTATTCCTTTTTTTTTTTTTAACTAACAACCTTTGTGAACTGCACAAAATATGGAACAATGCACAAATTTGCGTGTAATCTTTGCATAGGCGCCATGCTAATCTATATCATCCAATTTTTAGTATATGTGCTGCTGAAGGGAGTACCGTTATTCCTTTGACATGGCTGCACACTCACAAACCACTGAATAGTACTAATGGTGCAGCTCCAGGCAGTACTGCAACGTTGCTGGGTAAAGTAATCTCACCTGGGTCTTCAGACAACAGTGAGAGGTAGGCAAGTACTATCTCTATTCTCAGGGGAGGAAGCTAAGGAACTAAAGGGACTAGTGAGAAAGAGGAATGCTATGAATGGAGTTGGCACATATTTTTAAATATACTATTTATTCTCAAAAAGCATCCTCTGAAAAGTGAAATAACCGCAACTTTTGAACCAAAATCCAAGTATTTAGCACTTGGGTTTCTAAAATGGACACTTCTTCAGTGGTCACTCCAGTTCAGCAGCACGGTATCTCAAAGATGGGGCTTTGGAGTTATTTTGGAAGTCAAATCCCACCTCTGCTATCCATTTTCTTTGGACACTTAACTCCCTTGGGTTGTTTGATCTAACTGGACTTTTGCATAAGTTACTCATATGGTTTGGCTCTGTGTCCCCATCCAAACCTTACCTTGAACAGTAATCCCCATAATTCCCATGGGTCCAGGACAGGACCAGGTGGAGGTAATTGGGTCATGGGGGCAGTTCCCCCATGCTGTTCTCGTGATAACGCGTGAGTCTTATGAGATGTGATGGTTTCATAAGCGTCTGGCATTTCCCTCGCTTGCACCCATTCTCTCTTCTGCCACCCTGAGAAGAGGTGCCTTCCACCATGATTGTAAGTTTTCTGTGGCCTCCCGAGCCATGCAAAACAATTAAACCTCTTTTCTTTATAAATTAAATCTCTTTTCTTTATAAATTAAAGAGTCAATTAAACCTCTTTTCTTTATAAATTACCCAGACTTGGGCATTTCTTCATAGCAGTGTGAGAACGAACTAATACAGTTACTTATCTCTCTGAACCAAAACTGTTCACCTATAACATAGGAGAAATAGTACCAACCACAAAGCTAACAACAGCTAGCACTTTAACTATACTTAATGTGAGCCAGTCACTGTGCCATGTCACATGGATTATACTACCACCCTCTGAGTTAGGTTTTATTATTAATGCAGTTTTTACCAATGAGACTACTGGGACACAGAGGGCATAAACAACTTGTCAAAGACATGCAGCAAACAGACAGGACAGACAAATCTGAAGCCAGGTTGTCTGAGCTCAGAATCTATACCTATAACCACTGTGCCCCACTGCTTTTGCCAGTGGGAGCTCACACACTCAGGACAGACAATCAGTACAGTGCTAGGTTCACTGCAGGTGTTGAACAAATGTCTGTTCACTCTTTTTGTTCTCAAAAGTACCGGGAAAGGCCAGAAGAAAAAATACAAGACTTAGAAACTGCAATGGATCAGATCACTCAGTGGCACCTCACTAGAAAATATTACCAGTCTTGTAAGTGCAAAATTTATGTTGTAATTGTAGCAATCATGATTCCAGCTCTCCTCCTGACATATGGTAAGACTGCACTTTATGCCTCCCTTGGTTGTATTGGATAACATGACTAATTCTGGAAAATAAGTTGAGCAGAAATGAACATGTTTCCTGGAATTTTGAACTGATGGTTTAAGACCCTGCACAACTCTCTCCCTCTGCAACAACCACCAGTCTACAATGGCCAGACTTCCTAAAATAACCAACTTGAAATGAACACATAGCATGACAGAGAAATAAATCTCATTGATTAGGCCAATGAGATGTATTCCACAGCAGGACCTGGCCTACCCTAATCAATAAAGTAAACCAATGATCTCCTATGAGCTGCTAACACATTCTCTATCACATATTAATACAATCAAGAGTTTCAACCTGTGTCCAATGTTAACAGTAGGCATACTGGATAAATGAAGGAGCAATATTTACCTAAGGTTCTCCCCACCCCAAGGGCTAGGCGAATATGAGATAGTTTTAGGTGTCTTTTGATTCGATCAATCATGGTTGCCAGGGAGACAGATTCATCCAGTGTGCATAAGCGTCCCATTCCAGTATGTAGAAGCAAAGGCTGAGGAGAAACAGAAGTTAGAAACGGTGTCCACTGTCAGTCCTAAAACAACAAATGCTAAAATCAATCAGTATGCACACTGTGAGGTTACTACAGCAAGCTCCAGGCTAAATGTGGGGACACAAACCTGACAAAATCATTCTTCTAGGAGCTCACAGTTTCCTAGGAAGGCAGATGTTTAAATCCATAATCAGGCCAGGCACGATGGCTCATGCCTATAATCCTAGCACTTTGGGAGGCTGAGGTGGGTGGATTGTTTGAGCTCAGGAGTTTGAGACCAGCCTGGGCAACATAGTGAGACTTCATCTCCATTAAAAAATCCAAAAATTAGCCAGGCATGGTGGCGTGCACCTGCACTCCCAGCTTCTTGGGAGGCTGAATGGGAGGTGGGCTTGAGCTACCCAAGAGGCAGAGGTGAGCTGAGATTATACCACCGCACTCCAGCCTGGGGACAGAGCCAGACCCTGCCTCAAAAATAAATTAATTAATTAAACAAAATAATAAAACTGTTTAAATTCAAGGTAGGTTCTACAGTTGCAGCAGCACAAGGAATGACAAACTAAATGAGCTGTGACTTGGGAGGCTTGGGGAGTACTTGGAGGAAGGACTCAGGTCTTAGAGAAAACCCTAAAAGAGTTAAAAAGGGGGAAATAAAAAAGTTTGAAAGGGCGGTGATGTCAAGTGCAGTGTGGCAGGACAGAGGTACGATGAGATGAAGAAAGGCACTCTAAACAGAGAGAACACGGACAAAGGTGCCAAAGACTTGAGAGAACACACTGTGGGGGTAGATCCAAACAAAGACAGTATGGCTACTGTGCAGAGCACGTGCTGTGGAAGGAGAGGAGGCTGGAGGCCCAGGCTGTAGCAGATCATTAAGGGCTTCCGACACCATGCTAAAGAGCCTGGACTGCCTCCTAGGTGCTCGGTGAGACAACTCTCATCACAGAAAATGAGAGTTTCAACTCCTGTGGTGGCAGAGCCAATACAGAGGAGAAACACTGTATAGATATGAGGCCAGAATCAGCAGGGCTTGGAGTCAAGGAGGAGTATGAAAACTTGGAAACTAAAGTAGATAATGATACTGAAATATGAAATATATATTAAAAAAAGGGGGGGTGGCACAGGGATAAAGTATTTGGATATATTGAATTTGAAATACTTGTGGGCTCTGTAAGGGCAAAACATCCAGAAAGTAGTTGAAAATATGGATTCTTGTCATTTTTTCCCTTAAGAAAGCATTCTAAGCCAAAAAGTAAAGATAGGAATCATCATCATACAAATGGCTATCAAGTGAAAGAGTGAATGACATGGTCCAGGCAGAGGGTATAAAATAAAGAGAGAGCAAACCTGTAACCAAATCTGTAACCCTGAAGAAGTACCACTATTTTCCTATTCCTGGAATGTCTCCCTTTCTCAATTACTTCCTAGAGAATATTATGCTCTCATTGCCATTTTGTACTTTAGGTAACAGTGAATGGCCTGTTGATCTAATAATTTACAAATGAATTTGCTGAAGAAAAATGCAAAGTAATGATACTTATCAAACTGTACACATCAAATATGTACAATTCTGAGTATATCAGTTATACTTCAATAAAGCTGAAAATGCACAGTATTTTAAGATCAAACACAAAATATCTTTATTACCTTCTCCAGCGACAGAATTTCTGTCTTCTGATAAAGTTGTTTGTTCTGAGAAAGAAAATCTACCACCTGCATCAAAGCCTTCTGAGTACAATTCAGACTAATCCGTGTTTGTTCCTCATTATCAATCCTAGGGGGGAAAAATCACTCCATTTAGGCCAAATATAGCCAAAATGTATTTTACATAATCCACAGTTTACAAACTTACTATAATAGGAGATTAGATTTATGTAGAACTAAGGATTTAACCAACAGAACCCATTTAATCTGAAACTAATGCATTTTCTAGAATAGCATTTCTCTAAGTCTACTATGCATCAGAATCACCTGGAGGATTATTAAAACACAGATTGCTGGGTCCTACCCCTGGAGTTTCTGATTCATTATATCTAAGTGGGGGTCTGAGAGTTTACCTTTCTAACAAGTTCCAGGTGATGCTGATATTGCTGTTCCAGAGACCTCACTTTGAAACCACTGTTCAAGAACTGTTCTCAATCCCGATTGTGCATCAGAAATTTCCTGGCCGGGCGCGGTGGCTCACACCTGTAATCCCAGCATTTTGGGAGGCCAAGGTGGGCGGATCACTTGAGCCCAGGAGTTCAAGACAGCCTGGGCAACATAGCAGGACCCCATTTTATTTTTTTATTAAAAAATTAAAGTTAAAAAAAAAAAAAAGGCCAGGCACAGTGGTTCACACCTGTAATCCCAGCACTTTGGGAGGCCGAGGTAGGTGGATCACCTGAGATCAGGAGTTCAAGACCAGCCTGGCCAACATGGTGAAACCCCATCTCCACCAAAAATACAAAAAAAAATTAGCCGGGCGTGGTGGGGGGTGCCTGTAGTCCCAGCCACTCCCCAGTGGCTGAGGCAGGAGAATCACTTGGACCTGGGAGGCAGAGGTTACAGTGAGCCGAGATTACGCCACTGCACTCCAATCTGGGCAACAGAGTAAGACACTGTCTTAAAAAAAAAAAAAAAATTCCTTCTAGCTTCTTAAAATAACAGGTGCTGGATCCTTCCACAGAACCAGTGAAACAGAACATCTACGAATGGGGCTGGGGCAAACTGAATTTTTTTAAAGCCTTAGAGATAATTTTAAAACACTGAATTTGAGAATGTCTTGGACAGATTCTCAGGCAAACTCCATTCTAATTACAAGATCTGAGATGAATACAAAAATCTGCATTTTAAATAAGCACCTCATTAGCAATCATGCAGGGGGTCCTTGGATCACCCTCCAGAGCCTCTCCAAAATTATTGGCATCAAGAAAGTTTCACATTTAACCATAAATTCTAAATATAATCATAAAATTCTAGAACTAAAGGACACCTTTAAAGATAATCTGGAAGCATTAATTATAAACTCTGCAATCATCTGTGAAATTTTTAAAAAAGAAAGAAAACCAATGCCTTGGTCCCTATCTAGTGGTAAAACTCAGATATTATCTACAATATGGAAAAACTGGAATCGAACTAAAAAGTCCATCAGTAGGAAGAGGAATGCTTAAAGAAACTACCGTTCATCCATAATAAGAAACACTACAAGCAATTAAAAATAATGAGAGGTTAGGCTGGGGGCAGTGGCTCATGCCTGTAATCCCAGCACTTTGGGAAATCAAGGTGGACACATGGCTTGAGCCCAGGAGTTTGACACCAGCCTAGACAACAAGTCAAAACCCTGTCTCTACAAAAGATACAAAAATTAGCCAGGCATGGTGGCAAGTTATAACTATAGTCCCAGCTATTAGGGAGGCTGAGGTGGGAGGATGGCTTGAGCCTGTGAGGTCAAGGCTGCAATGGGCTGTGATCATGCCACTGCACTGCAGCCTGGGTGATGAAGTGAGACCTTGTCTCTCAAAAATAAAAAATAAAAAAACAGCTGGGCACCATGGCTCACGCCTATAATTCCAGCACTTTGGGAGGCTGAGGCAGGCAGATCACGAGGTCAGGAGTTCAAGACCAACCCACCCAACATGATGAAACCCCATCTCTACCAAAAATACAAAAAAAAATTAGCCAGGCATGGTGGCTGGTGCTTGAACCAGGGAGGCGGAGGTTGCAGTGAGCCAAGATTGTGCCACTGCACTCCAACCTGGGTGACAGACCTAGACTTCATCTCAAAAATAATAATAAATAATAAACAAACCAAAAAAACTCCTATCTCTGCCCTAAATAATGATTGACCTTATAAAGAGGCACTTAATGTATTTTTCACTTGAAGTGCTTGGCACCTATAGTCCCAGCTAATTAAGAGGCTGAGGTGGGAAGACTGCTTGAGACCAGCAGCTTAAAGCCATGGCAAGCTACGATCATACCACTGCACTCCAGCATGGGAATCGCTTTTTTTTTTTTTTTTTTGAGATGGAGTCTCACTCTTGTTGCCCAGGCTGGAGTGCAATGGAGTGATCTCGGCTCGCTGCAACCTCCGCCTCCTGGGTTCAAGTGATTCGCCTGCCTCAGCCTCCCGAGTAGCTGGGATTACAGGCATGCGCCACCAAACCCAGCTAATTTTGTATTTTTAGTAGAGACGGGGTTTCTCCATGTTGGTCAGGCTGGTCTCGAACTCCTGACCTCAGGTGATCCACCAGCCTTGGCCTCCCAAAGTGCTGGGATTATAGGTGTGAGCCACTGCGCCCAGCCTGGGAGTCTTTTAAAACAAACTAAGATTATTCAGAAAAGTATTTCTCATGATGTTAAATTAAAAAACTGATTTATGAAAATATATATTTAAAATGTAAAGATAAATATAAAAAAGAAAGTGCTTGGAAATCACTGATTTGCTGGGAACCAATAAAAGCCTCATCACCACATCACTAGGATCTATCTGTGTTCTCTAAAGTGAAAACAACTATCTTTGAACATCACCAGGATTAGAAATACTGTATATAAAATGCATAGTATAGGCCCCTGACATAGAAAATACTTAATGTGTTACTTATTGTTTTTGTTGTTTTGAAAAAATTCCATAGGTCTCCAGGACCCACAGACAAATGAGGAGTATGCTGCTTTGTAAACCAACTCCAGAGAAAATTATTTGTTTCAAGCCTAAATACCAGGGTTACAGACTTTGTAAGGAAGATGCTTACAAATAAATACACACAAAAAAAAGAGAAAAATAAATTGTACCTAGCAGAAAAAGAAGTGACAGAAACATCATCAATTCCTTTCACTGCAGACATGACTTTGTCCAGGGCTTGGGTGTGGCTAACGTTGAATTCTACTCGGTGGTTCCCCTCTGTAGGGTAGTTGGGAGCTTTGGAAGGATGTATGGGCCTGGAGGTACAAGCTCCTAGAGAAAATATTGTGGGAAAATGGGAGTTTTGGGGGGTTAGAGGTTAACATTTAAAAGTAAGATAAACTATTATAGGCAAAATTTCTAAGAAATGACTTTTTTAAAAGATTCATTCTCATGCTTATATGACATACACACACATACATATATCCTTTAGATATACATCACCAGTCCCCTAGGGCTTTGGTATGGATGTACAAAATCAAATTATTTCAGAATTATTTTCCAAAAGATTCTTAAATCTCTGAAAAACTTGGACAAGACTGATTCATACATTTTCAGATAATACACAGAATGGTCTACTGTTTGGTAAATCTACCCATGTAAACCATCATTCAGGTTGCAAATGCTCATACTTTATTTGACCACATTAATCCAGACATCATCATAAAAGCTTCAGCCCAAAATGAGTAAACAAAAGACTTATTAAAGTAAAGCTAAAATCCATACATCATTCCCTAGGCATAAGTAAACATTCACTAAAAACATTCACTAAAACCCAGATGTCTATTTGCCTGATTTATCAATCAAGTGTATTCTGGAGAGACCTGAGCTTTCAATTCAACAAGCATTTTTCAAGTGCCCGGGTGACAGGCATTGTGCCACAAAAGTGAGGAGTCACGAAGTTCAGCCCAGTAAGGAAGACTTCTGCTCTCCCAACTCCGTAAGAATTAAAAATGTTTCCTTTTTCAAATGCAATTTAACTGCCAAATTTCAGCAACATTATTTTAAATGTATTATACAAAAATGGAATCATACCCTCCCCAACCCTAAAGCAGCTAAAACTTTACTGGAAAGACATTCTAAGGTTTCAAAGTATTTGCAGGGAAAATATCAAATATGAAAGAAGCTTCTCACCAAGCCCTTTAGCCAACCAGTTGTTGACGCCCTGGGGTGCGGCATCATAGGCTGTGTGAGGAGAGTAGATACCGACTCTGTTCTCCAGAGCCTGGATCACCAGGCGCTCCTTCCAGGTGTTCCAGGTTATGCGCTTCATGGGTCGGAAGATAGGCGGATGGTAGGAGAGAATGAGGTCTGCCTTCTTTTGCAGCCCCTCCTCCATCACTTCCTCAGTCAGGTCATTGGTCAGGAAGAGCGTATTTACAGTATGTGGTGGGCTTGGTTCCACCAGTAATCCAACATTGTCCCAGCTCTCAGCAAAGGAGAGGGATGCAAAGTCATTCAAGGAAGAAAGGAGAGCCTTCAAATCCATGAAGGAACGGGAAGAACTGCAGATCAGAGAATCTACAAACCGGACTGTCGTGGGGACCCGGCGTACACAAGATGACAACATACAGAAATCAGGTAAAGTTCAAGTTTCTGAAGTCAAAACAAAGAAAATGGTACACAGGTACACTTTAGGCCTGGATCTTTGAGGCATCAAAGCATATGGGCAAAAGAACTGTCATCATAGAGATCTGGGTTCAAATAGTGGCTCTGCCACTTACCAGCACACAGTAACTTAGGTAAACCATTTAACCTCTCCAATCTTGTTTTCTCACCTACGAAACGGAGATACTATAGCCCACCTCACAGGCCATCCAGAAGAGCAAATGAATTATGTAACCTAGCAAAACCTGGTACATAATACACAAACGTCCATCCCATCTCCTGCCTCACACACCCTTGTTCTTATTCTCCCTACCCTTGCTTCAACCAACCCCCTCCCTAATCCATTTCTCTAAATATTACCTTCCTTTTCCCAAACCCCCTTCTACTTCTTAAATAAAACTTTTCTTGACCTCCCTTTTCAGCATCCTTCCCAAGGCTCCCAACCCCTCAGTATTCTCATTATTGTGTGTGCCCATTATGCTAAAGCTACTATGGAATAGGAACTATCTTTAATAAATCTCAGTATTGCTAATATAAGCCAGCACTAACTGCTTACTGCATAGAATGACACTGCTTACCTCCCCTGATTGCAACAGAATTTGGAGTTGGGGTGGTATATACTGACATTACAATGTGCTTTACCAAAAAACAGAATAATGTGGCGGGGCGCCTGTAATCCCAGCACGTTGGGAGACCGAGGCAGGAGGATCACGAGATCAAGAGATAAAGACCATCCTGGCCAACATGGTGAAACCCCGTCTCTACTAAAAATACAAAAATTAGCTGGGCATGGTGGCGTGCACCTGTAGTACCAGCTACTTGGGAGGCTGAGGCAGGAGAATCGCTTGAACGGGGAGGTGGAGGTTGCAGTGAGCCAAGATCGTGCCACAGTACTATGGCCTGGGCAACAGAGTGAGACTCCGTCTCAAAAAAAAAAGAATGTTTAAAATGTCAAGTGCTTTATCAGAATCAAGAATCAAGGAATACATAGGCAGGTCACTCTACAAATGGGCAGGGTCAAGGCAGAAGAAGGGAGAAGCCATTGCCCCTTAAGCAACATTTGCTACACAAAGGCCAGGCTCAAGAGGTGGAAGAGGGTAAGGTATAGGGTACTTTTCCCATGTAGCCTGTAAGCCTTCTAAATATCTACATCCAACAAGGAACTGAAAAGGTTAGCAGAAGAGGAAAGGTGGGAGGGCAATGGAAAGGTAGAAAAAAACTGCTGGCTCCAAAATATGCACAATTAGTAAATGTTTAATCAAATAACCACAAAAGATAATGCTGTCAACCCCATTCTTAAACCTACCACTTATAAACTGTTTGAAGAAAAGCATTTCATAGTATGCACAATAAGAAAGCATAGCCAACTGTAAATTTGATGAAATATCCATAAGCCAATTATTCCAAAAGCAATTTTTCAACGTTTCTATTTAATGAGATGAGGATGCTTATTTAATACATTATTTGAAGTGATATGGGGTCTCCAAAAACCACTCGAGGTCTCGTAAGTTTGTTTTTGTTTTCTTTTTGAGACAGGGTTTCACTAGTTGACTAGGCTGCAGTGCAGGGGTGTGAACTCTGCTCACTGCAGCCTCGACTTCCTGAGCTCAAGCAGATCCTTCCACCTCAGCCTCCTGAGTAGCTCGGACTACTGGCGCGGAACACCACACCTGGCTAATTTTTGTATTTTTAGTAGAGATAGAGATTCACGATGTTGCCCAGGCTGGTCTCAAACTCCTGCACTCAAGTGATCCACCTGCCTCGGCCTCCAAGAGTGCTGGGATTACAGGTGTGAGTCACCGCGTCCGGCCTTGGAAGATCTTCTAATGGTCCTCATAGTACTCCGTTCTCCAGCATCTTCTACATCTGGCAAGCTCGAAAGTGAAACCCTAGTGGGCCACCATTCAGGTTTTGAGTTATTTACTGCAACAGATGAGGAAACTGCGAGGCTACATGGCCACAGTCAACAACGACAACAGGAGGCAGGATAGTATGGTGGTTAGGAGCACCGACTCTGAAGCCAGTCTGAATCCGAGAGCCAGAGCTGTGCAACAACAGGTAAATGACTTACCTATGCATTTTCCTCCTAAAAGGAAGTAGTGCCCAGGCCACAATATCGCGAGATTTATATGTAAAGCTGCAAACAGCTCCTGTCCTAAAGTAAGCACTGTTTACTACTAAGTAGCATCAGTAGGGCCCCTTTGCAAGTTGCAAACCGCTCCCTCAACGTTACCTCATCTATGCCTCATTTCAGCGCCACTTCAGGCCTTTTCCAGGGCAGTGAAAAACCACGAGACACAGCCAGTAAGTCTGAGTCAGGACCCCTGACCCACTAGTGCGCTGTGCTCTCGTGCGGCAGGGCAGTTTTCTGACCCAACCTCTTCTGCTCTGCTCTGCAGCACCAACACAACAATCACAGCCGATCCCAACCGGCACCTACCGCGAAGGTCACAACTACACTCGCGGGTTTTTAAATCGCCCACTACTCACCAGTCCCGGAAACTTCGCTGCGTCACTTCCGGTCCTGCGTCGGCGCTCCGGGCGCTGTGGCAATGGGCTCCCCGTAGCTAGAGAGCTGGGCGGAAGTGGTCCTTGCCGTTTGGCAGCCGAGTGTGAAGTATTGCTTGAGGTTGGCCAGGTAGTTCTCGCCTTACATTTCTCTTCCCCGTGCATTAGTAGAGCTCCGTTTCACCTTCAAATTTCCAGTTGGGGATAAATTACATTGTCGTTTTGGTTTGAGATAGGAAGGAGAGGGGAAGCAGGAGGTGAGGCGGTAAGGGGCGTTCTTTCTCTTGGGTCCCGCGCCCAACTTCCGCTGGCCCAAAGAAACTATGATTTTGAACTAACAGACCTATGCTGGCATCTGCGATTACATTTTTCCTGTTTTAACAACGGCTGTGCCGGGCGCGGTGGCTCACGCCTGTAATCCCAGCACTTTGGGAGGCTGAGGCGGGCGGATCACAAGGTCAGGAGATCGAGACCACGGCGTAAACCCCGTCTCTACTAAAAAATACAAAAAATTAGCCGGGCGCTGTCGCGGGCGCCTGTAGTCCCAGCTACTCGGGAGGCTGAGGCAGGAGAATGGCGTGAACCCGGGAGGCGGAGCTTGCAGTGAGCCAAGATCGCGCCACTGCACTCCAGCCTGGGGGACAGAGCGAGACTCCGTCTCAACAACAACAACAAAAAAACAACGGCTGTGCTAGACAAAGTGGTGAAGCCCAAGTATGGAGTAACGTCATTAATTTTTTCATTCACTTATTCGAATGCTTGCTGAGTTTTGTGTTGCTACTGGTTTAGTTCTTGGGATACTGCGAGTGAACAGTTGGGCGGCGAGGCTGTTGTTAAAAGAAGGGCCCTGCACGGTGGCTCACGCCTGTAATCCCAGCACTTTGGGAGGCCGAGGCGGGAGGATCACTTAAGGTCAGGAGTTCGAGACCAGCCTGGCCAACACGGCGAAACCCTGTCTGTACTAAAAATACAAAAATTAGTCGTGCGTGGTAGTGTGCGCCTGTAGTCCCACCTACTCGGGAGGCTGGGGCACGACAATCACTTGAACCCAGGAGGCGGAGGCGGAGGTTGTAGTGAGCCGAGATCGTGCCACAGTGCACTCCAGCCTGGCGACAGAGCGAGAGTCCGTCTCAAAATGAAAAAAAAAAAAAAAAAGAAGAAGTTCATAGTATATTAGTGATAAGTGCTGTAGGAGAAGGAAATAGGAATGTCCTAGGGCTAAAGGGCTAACGCAGTTTTATGTAGGATTATCAGGTCAGTTAAACTTGACATTTAACCAGAAATGTGGAGGTGAGGAAATCAGCTGTAGAGATGTTCGAGTGTAAGAATTCCAGGCAAAAGGGACACCCAATGCCTAGACCCTAAGAGTATCTGGGTTACTGGGGGACTTGCAAGGAGGCTCTTGAAGAAGAACAAGCAGGGCAAGTAGGAGATGGGGAGGCTTGAATCGGGTAGGATCTCTCGTCATTACTTCTGTAGCTGGGTTTTTATTACGTAGAGGTTGCCATTAGAGTATTTTTTTTATTTTTATTTTTTATTTTTTTGACGGAGTCTCGCTCTGTCACCCAGACTGGAGTGCAGTGGCACAATCTTGGCTCACTGCAGCCTCCGCCTCCCGGGTTCAAGTGATTCTCCTGCCTCAGCCTCCCGAGTATCTGGGACTACAGGCGTGTGCCACCACACCTGGCTAATTTTTGTGTTTTTAGTAGAGATGGGGTTTCGCTATGTTGGCCAGGCTGGTATCGAACTCCTGACCTCAGGTGATCCACCCGCCTCGGCCTCCCGAAGTGTTAGAATTATAGGCGTGAGCCACCGCGCCCGGCGAGGATTTTTATTTAAAATGTGCAGTAAAGATGAGCGTGTGTGAGTTAAGACAGAAAAATGAGCCTAATTCTTTTTTTCTTTTGGGACTAGAGACTTATTTTTAAACTGGCTGTAAGGCTCTGAGAAATTACGTAGTCCTTCCTGAAACCACTAAGAGGAAAAATGGTAAGTTTTGAACAATTTTTATGAAATGTCTTTCATTGTAAGTAATTTTTAGAAATTCAGTCAAGGGCAATAAAAGTGCATGGAAATTGCAGTGGCAAGATAGAGAAATTGTATACCATTATTCCACTTAATATGGAATAATTCTTTTAAAAAATACACAAAATTACTTTAAAATTCTTTAATGTTGTCACTTAAAATGCACAGAATTTAGTTTCGCTCTTGTTGCCCAGGCTGAAGTGCAGTGGCGTAATCTCGGCTCACTGCAGCCTCTGCCCCCTGGGTTAAAGTGATTCTCCTGCCTCAGCCTCCCGAGTAGCTGAGATTACAGGCACCTGCCAGCACGCCCAGCTAATTTTTTGTATTTTTAGTAGAGACAGGGTTTCGCCATGTTGGGCAAGCTGGTCTCGAACTCCTGACCTCAAAGATCTGCCCGCCTTGGCCTCCCAAAGTGTTGGGATTACAGGCGTGAGCCACCACGCCCGGCCAGAATTTACCTTTTATGGAGAAAGGGTGATTACAAGATAGATAGAAATGGAAAGGGAGAGTTGAAGGAGCAGAAGAGAATAGACAGGTCTGACAATTTTAATTGGATTATTTTGCTCTAGATCTAAAGTGGGCAACGAAGCTGGGCGCAGTGGCTCACACCTGTGATCCCAGCACTTTGGGAGGCTGAGGTGAGACGATTGCTTGATCCCAGGAGTTCAACACCAGTTTGAGCAACATAGTGAGAACCCTGTCTCTACTTTAAAAAAATAAAATAAAGTGGGCAACTAGAACCTGAAGTACAAAAAGCAATGAGAATAGTGCCCTGCTTCTCCCTCACACATCTTTAACCTGGTCATATTCTCTAACTGCTACATACTATTTAAGAAGAAGAAGGCTGGGCGCAGTGGCTCACACCTGTAATCCCAGCACTTTGGGAGGCCTAGGCAGGTGGATCACTTGAGGTCAGAAGTTCGAGACCAGCCTGACCAACATGGTGAAACCCTGTCTCTACTAAAAATACAAAAATTAGCTGGGTGTTGTGGCATATGCCAGTAATCCCAGCTACTTGGGAGGCTGAGGCAAGAGAATTGCTTGAACCCAGGAGGTAGAAATTGTAGTGAGCAGAGATCACGCCACTGCACTCCAGCGTGGGCGACAGAGCAAGACTCCATCTCAAAAAAAAAAAAAAAAAATGGAGAAATGAAAAAGGAACCCTCCAAATTGTTTTCTCCCCCTCTGGAATACAGTATTATATCAAGGGGTATACAGGTTACAGAAAAACAGGTACAACAAAAACAAAAAGCAAGCAAAAAAGCACTGTGGTTATCTCTGAGCATTTAGGATTTTAGAAACACTGACACTTGTTATATTTTTGTTAGTCGAGAAAGGAATTATTTTTTAACCTTATTTCTCAGAATTAAATTACCTAAGGAAAATGGTGGAAATTATGTTTTGAAAGATCATTTTCTCATCATTTTTCTATAAATAAGGATGTTGGTGAATTGCCATGTACATCAATAATACATAACAATTGTTTTTATTTTTCTTGATAAAATTCAAAGTTAAAATCTTTCCATCAAAATATTTACTTCCAAATTTTTATCATGGATACTACTTAACCCTAACATTTATATTCTGGAGTTTTTTCTCTATGTTGAGATCAATTTTGAGGAAAAAGTACAACTTAGCTCTAAGAGCTGCTTTGTGGACGAGTCATCTCTGAAGCAGTATTTCTGTCTGTTTTTATTCAGATTATCACCTTGAATATCCACATAGGGAAATAAACAATGCATAAAGTCACCTAAAGAAATTTCATTTGTTCTCACATTTTCTCTCCTTTTTAGTCTGTGACACTGCATACAGATGTAGGTGATATTAAAATTGAAGTCTTCTGTGAGAGGACACCCAAAACATGTGAGGTAAGTACCATTTACATATTCAACTTCAGTTAATACAACAAGATAACCACTTTGGAATTGAATAATCTAACCTAAATAACAACAACAAAACTTTCTGTAAAACCATTGTTAAGGAAAACCAGCCATCATAACTTCTGGCCTTATTTCCACTTGTTTGTTCAATGTCAAATGTGGATCAAAGAGAAGGTAGATAATTTTTCGGTAACGATAGAGTAGCCAGTATCTTTTTCTTTTGACTGATTTTCCTCGGGAAACATAATCATTAGGACATTATATTACTTTTTTTCTTTCTTTATTTTTTATTTATTTATTTTTTTTTGAGACAAAGTCTTGCTGTGTCCCCCAGGCTGGAGTACAATGGTGCGATCTCGGCTCACTGCAACCTCCGCCTCCCGGGTTCAAGCAATTCTTCTGCCTCAGCCTCCCAAGTAAGTGGGATTACAGGCGTGCACCACCATGCCTGGCTAATTTTTGTATTTTTAGTAGAGACAGGATTTCACCATGTTGGCCAGGCTGGTCTCAAACTTCTGACCTCAGGTGATCCATGCACCTCAGCCTCCTAAAGTGCTGGGATTACAGGCATGAGCCACCGCACCCGGCCTTTTTTCTATTTTTTCAAGACAGAGTCTTGCTCTGTCGCCCAGGCTGGAGTACAGTGGCATGATCTTGGCTCACTGCAACCTCCGCCTCTGGAGTTCAAACAATTCTCCTGCCTCAGCCTCCTAAGTACCTGGGATTACAGGCACCCACCACCATGCCCAGCTAATTTTTGTATTTTTTTAGTAGAGACGGGGTTTCACCATGTTGACCAGACTGGTCTCAAACTTCTGACCTCAGGTAATCTGCCTGCCTCAGCCTCCCAAAAGTGCTGGGATTATAGGCATGAGCCTCTGTGCCCGGCAGAATATTATATTAAAGAATTGTTGTATATATATATATTTTTTGAGACAGGGTCTTGCTGTGTTGCCCAGACTGGAATGCAGTGGTGCAATCACGGCTCATTGCAGCCTCAACCTCCTGGTCTCAAGCAATCCTCCCACTTTGGCCTCCCAAGTTGATAGGACTACAGGTGTGTGCCACCATGCCAGGCTAATTTTTTTTAATTTTTTATAGAGATGAGGTCTCACTATGTTGCCCAAGCTAGTCTCGAACTCCTGATCTCCAGCCATCCTCCCCACCTCAGCTTCCTGAAGCGTTGGGCTTACAGGCGTGAGCCACCATGCCTAACCTGTTCTATACATTATTTTGCCTGTTTGTTTATATTTATTTATTTATTTATTTATTTTTGAGACAGAGTTCTGCTCTTGTTGCCCAGGCTGGAGTGCAGTGGCACGGTCTTGGGTCACTGCAACCTCCGCCTCCCAGGTCCAAGGGATTCTCCTGCCTCATCCTCTTGAGTAGCTGGGACTATAGGTGCCAGCCACCATGCCCGGCTAATTTTGTATTTTTAGTAGCAATGGGGTTTCACCATGTTGATCAGACTGGTCTCAAACTCCTGAACTCAGGTGATCCACCCGTCTTGGCTGCCCAAAGTGCTGGGTTTACAGGCATGAGCCACTGCGCCCGGCCTGTTTCACCTGTTTAAATGACAAGGATGGAAGGAAGAAGAGTCACCTGTATATATTCATTTATTCAACGATTATTTATGGCTGGGCATGGTGGCTCACATCTATAATTTCAGCACTTCGGGAGGCTAAGGTAAGCTCAGAAGTTCTAGACCTACCTAGGCAACACAGTGAGAGCCCCATCTCTACAAAAAAATACAAAAATTAGCCAGGTATGGTGGTATGAGCCTGTTATCCCAGCTACAAGGGAGGCCAAGGTGGGAGGATTGCTTAAGCCTAGGAGGTCAAGGCTATAGTGAGCTCTGATCACATGGCTACACTCCAGCCTACGTGACAGAGCAAGACCCTGTCTCAAAACAAAACAAAAAAACCATTATTTGTGAAAGGCTATCTTACCCCAGAGTCTGGAGATACAGTGATGAGCAACAGACGTTCCTTACCCTCATGGAGCCAATATTTTAGTTGTGAAAATAAGCAGGGCAGGAAAATTAAGTAATTATATTTTTAAGAAATTATTTTTATTTATTTATTTATTTTAAAGATAGAGATGAGGTCTTACTATGTTGCCCAGGCTGGTCTTGAACTCCTGGACTCAGGTGATCTTCCCGCCTCCCAGAGTACTGGGATTACAGGTGTGAGCTGCTGTGCCTGGCCTAAAATTAAGTAATTCTAAAAGGTGATAATGCCTTGAAAAAAATTAAGTGTTAAGATAGAGATTAATGGGAAAGGAAGAAGGTGAGGGCAGACATAGCCAATAAACTAATACTTAAACTAAATGCAAAGGTATGAGGGCATCTCTGGAAAGAGGTATAAAAATAATATTCCAGCTATTCAGATTCAGAAAAGGTTGTGAAATAAAATTTTAAAAAATTCCAAGGTCAGGCACAGTGGCTCACACCTGTAATTCCAATTTTTTGGGTGGCTGAGGCAGGAGGATCATTTGAGCCCGGGAGTTCAAGACCAACCTGGGCAACATAGGGAGACATTGTCTCTACAAAAAAAAAAAAAAAAAGAACATTCCAGGTATAGAAATATCAGGTATAAAGTCCCCCAGGTAAGAAAAGCTGCCCCTTTTGGATTAATTGTCAGAATGTGGATGGGGTTTAGGTAGTAAACAATAAGAAAGCAGTTCTTAGTATATGTGATGAGGAGATAAGCCAGGTACTGCAGGGCTTGTTAGGCCCTGCTGATGATTTTGTTTTGTTTTGTTTTGTTTTTGTCGCCCAGGCTGGAGTGCAGTGGTGTGATCTCGGCTCACTGCAACCTCCGCCTCCCAGGTTCACGCCATTCTCCTGCCTCAGCCTCCAGAGTAGCTGGGACTATAGGCACCTGCCACCACACCCAGCTAATTTTTTTGTATTTTTAGTAGAGACGGGGTTTCACCGCAGCCAGGATGGTCTCGATCTTCTAACCTGGTAATCCACCCACCTCGGCCTCCCAAAGTGCTGGGATTACAGGAGTGAGCCACCATGCCTGGCCGAAGATTTTGTATTTTATTCCAAAAGGAGAAGGAAGCTATTGAAGTGTTCTAGGCAGGGAAATGACATCCAAAGTAATGCCAAAAGTCATAGTTTAAATATGCTGCTATCAGGTTTTCAGTAAATATGATTGGTTCTTTGTCTTAACTAGGTTTCTGCTGCATCATTTCTCAATCATTATTTTTACTCTCTTCAGAATTTCTTGGCTCTTTGTGCCAGTAATTACTACAATGGATGTATATTTCATAGGAATATCAAGGGTTTCATGGTTCAAACAGGAGATCCAACAGGTAAGTTATTCCATTAACTAAGATCTAAGGAACTGAACGTATAGTATGAAGAAGTGGGTAAAAGAAGAGGAATTAAAAACGTGGAGTTTTTGTTTTGTTTTGTTTAATAAGTTCTGTTCTACAAGTGCAGAACATGTAGGTTTGTTATATAGGTATATGTGTGCTATGGTGGTTTGCTGCACCTATCAGCCTGTCATCTAGGTTTTAAGCCCAGCATGCATTAGCTATTCGTCCTAATGCTCTCCTTCCCCTTGCTCCCCACCCCCAAACTAGCCCCGCTGTGTGTTGTTCCCCTCCTTGTGTCCATGTGATCTCATTGATCAACTCCTACTTATGAGTGAGATCATGTGGTGTTTGGTTTTCTGTTCCCGTGTTAATTTGCTAAGAATGATGGCTTCCAGCTGCATCCATGTCCCTACGAAGGACATTATCTCATTCCTTTTTACGGCTGCATAGTATTCCATGGTGTAATTTTAAAGCAGAAATTATTAGCACCTACACCTAAAATATGAACAATATTGTGCTCACTTTGGCAGCACATATACTAAAATTTGAACAATACCGAGAAGATTAGTGTGGCCCCTGCACAAGGATAAGACGCAAATTTGTGAAGCTTTTCATGCTACAATATATGTATGAACAATATTTACAAGAAGGGTTATTCTGTTTTGTTTTTTGTAGGTCTGTTTTAATCTTCAGGTCTGTGAAGTTAAATTTGGGGAATTAGGAGAGGCCATATCAAATTTTGTTTATATTTAAGCAGTCAAACTCTATTCCTTAAGTTTTGGGAAATGAACTTATCATCAATTTTAATTAAATACTTCTTTCGATTTGCTTCTCTTGTAATATAGGAACTGGAAGAGGCGGCAGCAGTATATGGGGCAAGAAGTTTGAGGATGAATACAGTGAATATCTTAAGGTAAATCCTCAATGCTTTAAAAATCTATTTTTTGAAAATATTTTTGAAAAAAATTTTTTTTTTTTTTTTTTTTGAGATGGAGTTGCACTCTTGTCGCCTAGGCTGGAGTGCAGTGGCAAGATCTCGGCTCACTGCAACCTCCGCCTCCCGGGTTCAAGTGATTCTTCTGCCTCAGCCTCCCGAGTAGCTGGGATTACAGGCATATGCCACAACACCTGGCTAATTTTTTTTGTATTTTTAGTAGAGATGGGGTTTCACCATGTTGGTCAGACTGGTCTCGAACTCCTGACCTCAGGTGATCCGCCTGCCTTGGCCTCCCAAAGTGCTGGGATTACAGGTGTGAGCCACCACACCCGACCAAAAATCTGTTTTTTCATGCCTTGGTTATGCATGGAAACTTTGATACACGTGTTATAGTAATACAAGTTAACATCATTGCAAAATGAGTAGACTTTTTTATAGTTTTTGTACATTTGACAAATGATGTCAGGGAGACTTGATAAATGGTGGTCCTAGCCTGACGTATAATGGAATCCCACTACCACATGGCTCTTGATATTGAGTTCATCTTTGAATCTAACCTGAAATGTTTAACTAGTAGTGTACCAAAGAGGCTTAATATCTCACCATAAAATTCATATTGAATGACGTGAAACAGTGGCCTTTTTTGAGAGTGGGGAGGAAAGACTATCAAACTTCCTGGTTGCAATGTTGCCCATTATCAGTACCCAGCTTTTATCATCTTCTGTTAGATGTTTGAATATCCCTGTATTAATCTGACTTAATACCTGTGGTAGATCACAACTAGGTTAAAGAGAAGTGCATATAAATAGTCTTTACCATGGTAAAATTAGGGATTTTTAATTTTCTTTGTTATATTTTTGTGTGTTTTTCAAACCTCTGTGGAGTCTTTTTTTTTTTTTTTTTTTTTGTCTAAAATAAAAAACTAGTGCATGCCTAGTTTTAAAAATCAATTCCACTTCCCAGAGATGCCTTCAGCTGATGACTTATTATGTGGTCTTTCAAACTTTGTATCTCCATAGAATGACAACTTTACGACTAGAAAAAGAGCGACGAAGTATCCTCAATCAGGGCCGGGTACAGTAATCCCAGCACTTTGAGAGGCCCAGTAAGGAGGATTACTTGGGGCCAAGAGTTTGAAACCAGCCAGTGCAACATAGTGAGACCCCCATCTCTACAAAAAAAATACAAATATTAGCCTGTTGTAATAGCATGTGCCTGCAGTTCCAGCTACTCAAGAGGCTGAGGTGTGGGGATTGCTTGAGCCCAGGAGATGAAGGCTGCAGTGAGCCAAGATCATGCACAGAACAAGACCCCGTCTCAAAAAAAAAAGTCTATTCAATCAAAATATGCAGCTTAAGTGTATTATTATATTTATATTACATTAAAATGTACCCACAAAAATTCTGAAAAAAAATTCATTGCAGTGTTTATCTCTGGATGATGAGACTAGGAATAATTTCTTTTCGTTTTGCTTTTTTTAAAACCTTTTTTTAGAGGCAGGGTCTTACTCTGTCCCCCAGGCTGGAGTGTAGTGATGCAGTCTTGGCTCACTGCAGCCTAAATTTTCTGGGCTCGGATGATCCTCCCACCTCAGCCCCCAGAATAGCTGGGACTACAGGTGCATGCCACCATGCCCAGCTAATGTTTGTATTTTTTGTACAGATGGTGTCTCACTATGTGGCCCAAGCTGGTTTCTTTTACTTTTCTATTGTAAGGAAATACATTAGTTTTGTTACAGGAGTTGAGGCTGGGAGGTGATAAACTTTTTGAAAAGTCAACTTTTTCCTGAATGAATAACTAAACAATTTTTTAGGTATTAATTACTACATTAATGACTGCTTCCATATACCAGTTGAAAACCAGAGACTGGCTATGACAGAATCACCTGTGAAACTTTGTTGTTTGTTTTTGAGACTGAGTCTCACTCTGTTGCCTAAGCTGAGTGCAGTGGCCTGATCACGGTTCACTGCAGCCTTGACCTCCTGAGCTCAAGCAGTTTCTCCTGCCTCAGCCTCTCAAGTAGCTGGACCACATGAGTGCACCACCATGCCCAGCTAATTTCTGATTTTTTTGTAGAGACGAGGTCTCGCTCTGTTGCCCAGTCTGGTCTGAAACTCCTGGACTCAGATGATCCTCCTGTCTTGGCCTCCCAAACTGTTGGGATTCCAGGAATGAGCCACTGCAATTGGCTGGAAGTTTTAAAACTGTAACAGATCACGGCCTTGCCCTCCTAAAAATAAACAGTCAGTAGGGCTGGTTAGGACTGAGACTATATTTTAAGGTTCCTAGATGATTCTTTTGCAGGCAGAGTTAACGACCATTACATGCCTGGTGCAGTGGCTCGCCTGTAATCCCAGCACTTTGGGAGGCTGAGGTGGGCAGATTACAAGGTCAGGAATCAAGACCATCTTGGCTAACACAGTGAAACCCCATCTCTAGCAAAAAATACAAAAAATTAGCCGGGCGTGGTGGCAGGTGCCTGTAGTCCCAGCTACTTGGGAGGCTGAGGCAGGAGAATGGCATGAACCCGGGAGGCAACGCTTGCAGTGAGCCGAGATCGTGCTGCTGCACTCCAGCCTGGGCGACAGACCAAGACTCTGTCTAAAAAAAAAAAAAAGAACCATTATGAATTATACACCTTATACACCAAGGTTATAGATATGTATTGACTGTTCATATCTTCTGACCCAGGAATCCATTCCCAAATGTTTACTCAAGGGAAACTTGTAAGTATGCACCAAGAGATGTGTACAGGAGTGTTCTGATATAGTGTTTGTAATAGCAAAAGTCTAGAAACAACCCAAATGTCCCTTGATTGTAGATAAATCACCATGTAGATTGTGGATAAATTGCAGTACATTCATCAGTGAAATATCAGTAAAAAATCAGTAATAAACTATGGCTATGTGTACATGTATGACCTTAGAACTGTAACAGCGTTATTTGTAGAGAGCATTTCCCAGAAGACTAAAATGTTAGGATGTAATTATATTCAGAAGGAAAAGGAAAGAATGTGTTGTTTAGGCATGTGTAATGTGTTAGGGCTGGGCACAGTGGTTCACTCCTATAATCCCAGCACTTTAGGGGGCCCAGGTGAGAGGACCACTTGAGGCCAGGAGCTTGAGATCAGCCTGGGCAACATATTGAGCCCTTGTCTCTACTAAAAGTCAAAAAATTAGCCAGGTATGGTGGTGTACATCTGTAGTCTCAGCTACTCAGGAGGCTAAGGTGGAAGGATTGCTTGAGCCTAGGAGGTCAAGGCTACAGTGAGCTGTGATTGCACCACTGTACTCTAACCTGGGTGACAGAGCGAGACCCTGTCTCTAAAAAAAAAGAAAAAGAAAAAATGAAAAAAAAAGTATTAGAATAGTGGTTACCTCTTGTAGAGGCTGAGGTAATAGATGGAGAGGAGCACATAGATATATGTAATTAATTGGTAACTTTTATTTTTTCTTGAGCTCCCATTATCCAATGAATTGGTAAATTTTAACTCTGAAAGCTGGGAAATATGTTAATGGGTGCTTATTTTATTAACTTATATTTTTATTAACTATATTTTTGTGTATGTGTTAAGTATTACATGTGTATGTATTAAATATTACATGTATATGTATTAAATATTACATTTGAGTGGTAAACACCTTTTAGGGAAACAAGCATTAATATTTTTATATAGGTGCATCTCTATGACTTACTAGCGTCACCCAATGAATAGCTAAAGCTAGAGTAATTGGTGGAGTTACTTGTAGTGTATTACAGGCACCTCCTTGTAACATAGTTCACAGTTATATCTTCATTCTTATCAGTAAGGTCCTTTTAATTTCTCTACACAGTCTCTGGTAAACAAATATGATAGTAGAGCTAGGTGAGACCTTTCTTAGATTGTTCAGTCCTCGGGTTATAAACTGACTGCCCATGAGTGGAACACCCACAGATGAATTTTCTATGGCCCATTAGTTTAAAAAAATATATTTAATGCCATTAGTTAAGAGATAGCCTATTCATTTTGCTAGACTTCATCTCTCTTTAATGTTTACATTCTTCCCAATTGTCAGTTTATCTGCTTGACCCTTGTGAGCATCTGAATTATGAATAGACCCTTGAACTAGTCCAGCCTCCCTTGTTTTACAGATAAAGAAACTAGCAGGAGTCCATTATATGTGAGAAGAGATTGTGGGCAAATTGCTTTTGTTGCCCACCTGATCGTTTCATTCCAGCACACTATTCCTTAATATAAATGTAAGGATTATTTATATCATTTGTTGGTGTTGCAAAAAGCGTCCATGGCTGTATTTCTTCAAAGTGAAAATGAAATTAATTGAGAAATATGATTTGATATATTAACCTTTTACATACAAGTTTTCAAGTATACAGAAAAAGTAGAAACTGAACATTTGGATTACCCCTAATAAAAGTTGGTTAAATGTTTTCTTGCTCCCTTAAATATTGTGAAGGCAAAGAGTGAATGTCTTGGCTGGAGTGGTGATTCACACCTGTAATCCCAACACTTTGGAAGCTAAGGCAGGCGGATCACTTGAGCCTAGGAGTTAGAGACCAGCCTGAGCAACATAGTGAGACCCCCATCTCAAAATATTTTTAAAAAAGAAAACAAAGGTGTGCCTGTCTTCTTTCAATACTATATTTGGGATGGTTATATAAAAGCACAGTTAATACTTTGATGTGTCTTTTTCAGCACAGTGTTAGAGGTGTTGTATCTATGGCTAATAATGGCCCGAACACCAATGGATCTCAGTTCTTCATCACCTATGGCAAACAGCCACATTTGGACATGAAATACACCGTATTTGGGAAGTGAGTATTCTGGTTATGGTTTTCTTTTAGCATTTCAACGCAGGTGCATATGCTCAGCTGTGATAGTAGCATAACTAATATTGAAAAGAGTGACGCAGAGTGCAATGTCTCACACCTGTAATCCCAGCACTTTGGGAGGCCAAGGTGGGCAGATTGTCTGAGGTCAGGAGTTCGAGACCAGCCTGGCCAATGTGGCGAAACTCCATCTCTACTAAAAATATTTTTAAAAAATTAGTCGGGTGTGGTGGCACACACCTGTAGCCCAGCTACTCAGGAGGCTGAGGCAGGAGAATTGCTTGAACCTGGGAGACGGAAATTATAGTAAGCCACGATCATGCCGTGGCACTCCAGCCTGGGTGACAGAGTAAGACTGCCTCAAAAAAAAAAAAAAAAA